CTAAGAGAGGAGAAAGCCATTCGATCCCACTTCAGTTGCTATAAGGTCACTCACTTACTGGTGACTTTTAGATTTTCGCAGCCAGTCCCTTGGTTTCTTTGAATGTGCGTATATTACGAGCCCCTACCTATATGCCGCAGCTCAAAACTGACATCGCCCTCTTCCCTCCTACACCGTGCTAAGAGTGCCCGGGTTAACCCCTCCCGCAGCCTTCACAGCAGGGGGTGTGGTTGCCACCCCCCCCGCCCCCCCCCCCTCCCCAAGGACTCTGACCCAGGGACACTAGAACACTCGCAGGGCATGGGTCGACCCTGGAGCCCAGCCGAGCCGAGGCAGCGGGGGCCCAGTGCCTGCCGCAAGGGTCTGAAGGCACCACGTGGCCAAAGGGCGCCCGCCCCTGCAGTGCCAGGCGACAGCCCTGAGACCGACCTGGAGAGACAGGCTCTGCCCTCCGTGTCTCGGTGGCCCGTGGGGGTCTGTCTCTGTCTTCCCCTCCAGCAAGGGGCAGGCTGCTGGCTGCTGTGTCCCCCGGGAAGCAGCGACTGGCCCACCTGGGCTCCAGGACAGGGCACCTTGGGATCGCACCTGCGGCGCTGTCAGGACCCTGTGTGCTACCTGCCGGCCCCTCACTGCTCTCCTCTGGGAGCTGCCTCCCGCAGCTGCGGGTAGGCCTGGGAAGGCGCTGATGCCAGCCCCGTGGGCAGCACTCGGGGCTGTGGCCTGCGCTGAGGCGGCACCCCAAGTGCCCCCAGCCGGCCAGGGCGGGCGCTGCCGAGATGTTTGCCAGGGCCCGGCTGCTCCGGCACCTTGCCCCATCCAGCTGATCGCGATCTGGAGGCAATGGTGACGCGGCCATGGGCTCTGCAGTCAGACCTGGAAGGTGGCAGCCCCACACCCGCCCTGGTGCCAGCCAGGGTGCAGAGGAGCTTGGCCTTCCCGGCGGAGCCATACTCTGCTCTCTCCAAGTTACTCCCCCAGGGCACCCTGGGCAGGATCACAGCTACTGCGGCCGCTGTCACAGGGCAGGCAGCTCTGCTCGAAGCGCCAGTCCCACAGCTGGAGGCTTAGCTCTTCAGAAGTCCCAACCAGGGCCGGCAGGTGGCCCGGGCCGCCACACAAGCTGTTGCCTGAGGGCACAGCAGGGTGACCCACCTGCCAGGACTGGCTGAACCCACAGGTTCGCCCGACAGCAGGTGCTGAACCAGAGCTCAGGCGGAGAGTGCGCCTGAGGTGGGGGCGGGGAGCAGCTGGGAGAGAGCGAGGTGGGCAGGTGGGAGAGGGCGAGGTGGGCAGGTGGGAGAGAGCGAGGTGGGCAGGTGGGAGAGGGCGAGGTGGGCAGCTGGGAGAGGGCGAGATGGGGCAGCTGGGAGAGAGCGAGGTGGGCAGCTGGGAGAGGGCGAGGTGGGCAGGGGAGCCTCCAGCTGGGCTGTGGGGCCACAGTGCGGATTCCTGATACTCGGGAGCAGGGCACTCACGCAAGACACGTGGGACAGCGGGGCTCTCTCCCCCGGCTTCCGCCCACAGGACCCAGGGAGGCCCCGGTAGGGAACAGAGGGCCAGGGGCCCAGCAACCCACCTCCTCAGGCTACACACAGAGACCCGTGAGGGGACCTAAGATCCCAGGCCCCAGACGGAGCCCCAGCAGCGCACGTCTGGCACGCAGGCCTTGAACACAGAAATGATTCTGTGGCCCACAGGCTGAGCGCTGAAGTGGTGGCCTGAACCCAGGCAGGTGGACTGCTGGCTAAAATGAGAGCATCAACACTTCCCTTACGTTGTAAACGAAACCTAGAACCTTATCATAGGTCACGGCCGACAGCCGGCATGTAAGCCAAAACCACTCAGCACACCAAGAGCTGCGAACATTTCGGAACATGGCCCCGAGATGTCAGCCCTGGCGCTGACGCTGGGATGGTCTGAGGCCCAGGGACGCAGGGGAAGAAGAGGAAACCGAGACCAGCCAGGGCCGTTCCAGGAGTGTGGGGCTGGGAAAACCATCGCGGCACGCACATCGACAGTGCAGGAAGACACCCGACGTGACCGCCAGCTTCCCACTCTCCAACTCTGCCTTTCAAATAAACGAGCTCGTGTTTATTTATTTGAAAGGCAGAGTTACAAAGAGGGAGAGGGGGAGGGGCGAGAGGAGGAGAGGGAGAGAAGAGGAGAGGGAGAGAGGGGGAGAGGGGGAGCGAGATCTTCCATTTGCTGGTTCACTCCCCAAATGGCCACAATGGCCGGGACTGGGCCAGGCCGAAGCCAGGAGCTTCTTCCGGGTCTCCCACGTGGGGAAGGGGCCCAAGCACTTGAACCATCCTCCGCTGCCTTCCCAGGCAGTGAGCAGGGAACCGGATGGGAAATCGGGCAGCAGGGTCTCAAACCAGCGCCGTACGGGATGCTGGCGCTGCAGGCGGAAGTCAACCTGCCACACCACACCGTCGGCCCCTAGGGGAATAAATCTAAAACAATGACAACAACAAAACACCCCTCGGATGAGTGAGTGTAGCAAGGCTACAGTCAACACAGAGAGCAGTCACATTCCTATACCCTTGTGACGTCCAACTGGAGGATGAAATTAAGAATAGACAACTGACAACAGCTTCAGAAATGGAAACAGCTCCCGCACACACCGGACAGCACACGTACAGGGCGACTCTGTCACTGTGTGACCAGCACAGAAACTGAGACGGCGAGCCCTGCTCAGGCTGTAGGTTCTCCTGAGACCACTGTCATACATGCGGTCACTCACCCAAACACTGACGTAGCACCTGGCCGTCTACAGCCACGTACACCCCCACCCCACCCCGCAACAGACTGACAGGGTCTCGGACTGGGAAACGTGACACGATGGAAATGCCGAAGTTCACCAGACTGATCTACAGACGTGACGTGTACGCAATACCAATCAAAATTCAGCAGGGGGCCGGCGCTGTGGCACAGCGGGTAAACCTGCGGTCTCCAGCGCCTGCGTCCCATATGGGCGCTGGTTGTAGTCTCAGCTGTGCCACTGCCAATGCAGTTCCTTGCTAATGACCTGGGAAAGCAGCAAAAGGCGGCTCAAGTCCCTGGGCCCCTGCACCCATGTGGGAGACCCAGATGGAGCTCCTGGCTCCGGGTTTTGGCCTGCTCAGCCCTGAGGGGGCAGCAGAGACCACGTGTGGAGGTTCTATGTCCAGGTCAGGGGAATCAGCACCCATGTCTGCATGAGTAGAGACTCAGAAGGGAAACAAAGGCAGGGGCCTGCGCTCAGGCGGAGCGGGCAAAGCCCCCAGGTGCACTGCCAGCATCCCATATGGGTGCTGGTTCGAGTCCCGGCTGCTCCACTTCCTGTCCAGCTCTCTGCTGTGGCCTGGGAAAGCAGTAGAAAACGGCCCAAGTCCTTGGGCCCCTGCACCTGCATGGGAGACCCGGAAGCAGCTCCTGGTTCCTGGCTTCGGATTCACACAGCTCTGGCCGTTGAGGCCATCTGGGGAGTGAACCAGCGGATGGAAGACCTCTCTCTCTCTCTCTGTCTCTCCCACTCTCTGTAACTCTACCCCTTAAGTAAGTAAATAAAATGTAAAATAAAAGAAAGAGAAACCTAACCATGCACAAAACAGAAAACAAGCTGTGAGGGAGGGCCGTCCTGTGACCGGGCTTTGTGGGAAGAGACAGGGAACAGGGAGCGACCACGTGGTGACACGCGTGCTGGCGCTCAGTGCTGGTGGGAGACACTAAAACCAGCTGCCGGCCCACAGGGGCTGATCTGCTTCGCAGGGGACCGCCCGGCCCCCAGGGCTTCGCTGGCTGCACCATCCTGCTTGTGTCTGTTGCCATCATGGAGAAGAGGACACTCTCAAAGATGCACAGACGGACAGACGGACGCCTACCAGGAGGTTGACGGACTCAATGACATCCAGGAAGACCTCGTTCTTCCGGTACTTGATGCCCTCCGACCGCCAGGACACTGCATTGGTGACGGTGGCGGGGGGCCGCGGGGCCCCCGTTTCCAGCTTGTGGCCTTCCTGCGTGATGTACCTGTGGGGCCACGGGCTCGGGGTCAGGCAGGGGCACGGGGGAGAGGCCCCACCTGCTCTCCCACCCCCTCCCCCTCCCCGGCGCCCACTCACTCCTGCAGGATCTTGCTGTCGGTGGTCTGGGGGTAGCCGAAGTCCATGAGCTCATCCAGCAGCTCGTAGATGATGACGAAGTTGTCCCGGATGCTCTCCTCCTCCAGCTCCTTGAAGTACTCGGAGAACACCTGCAGCAGCAGCCGGCAACCGGGACAGCAGGTGAGCGCCGGTCCCTTGGCCCTGCCCGCCTCCCGGGGCTGAGCCGGGGCCCTGGGCTGGGACATGTAGGCTGGAGGTCCTCGCAGGCCCAGTCCAAAGCCCAATCACTCTCCCCTGCCAGACAGCGCCAGGCCTGGGGCCCCTCCTCAGCATCTCCTCCAGACTGGGGCCAGCAGGGACTCGGCGGGGGCTGCCTCCAGCCCCACCCTGAGCTGCCAGGCTACCAGGAGGTATTTGAAAAAGTTCGCGGCAGAAACAGAACCAGGGCTGCCCGTTCTGCCCGGGAATTAAGCCACCCAGATCCAATACTGCTTTGATTCCTGGCTCTGGCTCCTAATTCCAGGGTGTGGCTAAGGCAGACCCTGGGAGGCAGCGGGCCCAGCTAACTGGGCCTCCTTAGAGCTCCTGGTTCTGGTTCTGGCCCAGTCCTGGCCACTGTGGGCATCTGGGGGACTGAACCATTGCATGGGAGTTCTGCCTCTCAAATTAATAGTTTTAAAAATTAAAACGGGAAAGAAAAAAAAAAAGAAAAAAAATTAAAACGGAATTAAAAGAGGTTCATTTGGGTACAAGAGGTTTTTGAAATCCATGCATACTTTTTTCCTGTTTTTTTTTTTTTTTTTTTTTTTTAATTTTTTTAAGTTTATTTGAAAGGCAGAGTTAGAGACAGCAAGGTCTTCCATCAGCTGGTTCACTCCCCCAGTGGCTGCAATGGTTTGGGCTGGGCCAGGCTGAAGGCAGGAGCCAGGAGCTCCGCATCCAGGCCTCCTGCGTGGGTGGCAGGGTTCCCAGGACTATGTGCTGCTTTCCCAGGGGCTTCAGCAGGGAGCTGGGTTGGAAGTGGAGCAGCCGGGACTCGAACCTGTGTCCATATGGGAAGCAGGTGGTGGCCGTACCCACTGTGGTATGGCGCCGGCCCCAGTTTTTTCATCACACATTTTCTATGGACTCTCAAGGCCGCTCGGCAGCTGTACACAGACGCAGCTCCCTCTGAATGGACAGTGAGCGGGGGCAGGGCAGGGAGGAGGGACAGGGCTCTGACCACCTGGATCTCTGTGCGGAGACCTGGGACAGGAGCATGGCTCCGAGACCGAGGCCCCCACACCCTCCTGGTCTAGGCCTCTGCACGGGCGGCACCGGCTGAGGGATGGAAGCCTCCCCGGCCCGGCGTGGGCCTGGTGCCCCGCTGGCTTCACCCTCACGGCCCCAGGTTCCTCTCCTTGCTGCCTCCCACTGCCTCCCTTGCTCAGCAGCCTTGGAACGCAAGCCATAGCCGTGGGGTCCAGCCCTGCTCCCAGGCGCAGGGCCTCCCGGACACTGCCTGAGCACAGCGCCCACAGAGTCCTGTCCCAGGCCCTTTGCACCTGCTGCCCCACCTCTCAGCCCTGCAGTCAGTCTGAGGGCAGCACTGCCAACCCACTGTCTGCTGGGACTGGTCACCCCACCCCACAGCTGGTGGGGGCACACCCCCGCCCTGAGCCCCACCCTCTCCCATCCACACTCCGCCCCTCTCTAAGGCTGCAGAGCCATGAGGACTGCAGTACTGCCCCCCCCCCAGGGGACGCCGCAGGCAGCCAGGGTGCCCACCAGGGAGCGGCCCCGCGGGGACTCACCTGCACCACCTTGTAGAGGAAGGAGAAGACCAGAGACACGCATGCGTTCTTCTTGGAGGTGGCGACCACTGCGTGGCAGTTAAGGAGCCTCCAGAGACCCTGAGAACAATGCCCCGACCCCACTCCCCCCCCCCCCCCGTGCTCAGAGCCTCCGGCAGCCCCGCCATGCCCTTGGCCCCTGTCGGGCCAGCCTGGTCTGAGTGAGGCCGGGACACGCAGTGACCAGCCAGGCACGGCGCTGGCCCCAGGGGGCACCCAGGGACCCCGGGACACTACTGGGTGAGGGGCCGCCTTGGGGGGATGGGTGTGCGACTCCTCCCAGGAGCAGAGAACGGCACTCCCCGCGAGCAGCCCCGTCCCTCCAACGTCCCCCTGGGGCTCCCCAGCCAGGCTCTGTGGAAAGCGGCCCTGGCCAGTTCTGCCTCCAGCCCCTGCTGGCTTTGGAAATCCAAGCCTTGGCCCTGGCAGCAAACCTTTTTAACAAAACCTCCATTTTCCCTCCTGTCTAATGGGTATCAGGCGTGGATTCCCCAGGGCGAAACATATAAGGGGCCTGGCACAATCACCCCAGCTGGGGGAGCCAGCCCCTGCCGCACGCCTCCTGCCCCTTTCCCTAAGGGGCCTGGAGCCACCAGCGGAGTCCGGGCCCTCGCCCGCAGGCCCACACATCACGTCCCAGGTGGCCTGTTCACGCCACGCCTGTGCGCCTGGCTCCCATGCCAAGTGGTGAGCTCTGGGAGGAAGGGGGAGACAGGCAGGCGCTGCACCCACCCCACTTCCTGCCTTGCCCTGGCACAGCTCAGGGGCCCAGGAAGTGCCACCGGCCCAGCCAAAGGCAAGCTGGCCTCTGTGTTGGAAACTGTGGCAGGGAGCGAGAGCAGGTCCGCCCACCTGGGAGGGGCCCCGCCAGTCTCCCCGGCTGCCCACAGGTCCAGACTGGCCCAAGGGCCCTGCTGAGCTCACACTGCAGTTGTTAAAGACACAATTACCGGGCTGTCATTAGCGTGAAGTCAGACCAGGGCGGCCACCCACTCTGCTCCCAGGCCACCTTCGTTGCTCTTCAGAGCTGTCCCCAAACAGGTGACACAGACCCACCCCCAACGGGGAGCTGGACGAGGGTGGGACCACCCTCCTCACACTACCAAAACAAGGAGGCCGGCAGGGTGGCCAGGGTGGGGTCTGGAGTCCGTATTTCCCAAAGGCTCCAGGGGAGGCCCTGGTCCATCACCCACACCTGCACGGGCGAGGCCTCGTGTGCCCCCATGCAGAGCTGTCCCCTGCATGTCGCGTGCACAGAACCAGTGGAACCGCGCGGCCCTCCCCATGATGTCCCCAAAGCTGCGGGCGGCCAGTGGGACCCCCGGCTGGGCCAATCCCCTTGCAGGACGGCAGGGCGAGCGGGGAGTGGGGGGAGATCTGCTCCCTCTCCCGGCACGCACAGCCCAGGCCGCCCCCCGCCGCCCCCTGCAGCCGGCGCCCGGCGGAGGGATACAGTAGAGGTTGTTGTGCTTGATCCACATGAAGCGGACGCCACCGTGGGCCAGGATGGGCGACAGCATCCCCTCCTCCTCTTTCTCCATCAAGATGGGCATGAAGTGCTCCACTTCGGACATGTCCACGTCGCCGCGGTAGTTGCGACAGATGAGCACCTGCGGCAGGGGCACAGGGGCTTGGCGTTCTGGGGTGCGGGCCAGGGCTGACTCCCCGAGACACCGGGGTGGGGGGGCTCGGCTGCCTCCTCAGAGCCCTGCCCATGGCACCAGGGTGGGGGCTTGGGTCGGAGGGGCCCTCCCAGCACCCAGGGCCCTGCCGCCCTCCGCTGACGGCAATGGGAAGTGGGACAGCCACTGCCAACGCCGGAGCCACCACGTGGCTCCCCAGCCGCGCCCCGCCAGGTGTCCGCCGAGGGGCTGCCTCTGAGCCCAGGCTCACAGCGGCATTAGCTGGGAAACACCCCCACTGGAGACAATAGGGGCTGAAGAGCCGGGCCATGGCCATGCAGTGCAGCAGGCTCCCGGGCCAGGAGCAGGTGCACCTCCAGCCGGCCCGCCGTGTCCACAGGGGCCCGGCGCCGGGAACCCACGGCCACCAGACTCTCATGCTGCAGTGAGGCCCCCCAGGACACGGCAGTGTTCACACGGAACCCACACACGCCCCCACCTCTCCAGACAACTTCTTTAAGATTTATTTTACTGATTCGAAAGGCAGAATGGCAGAGGGAGAGATAGATTTTCCAGCCAAACGGCCACACAGCTGGAGCTGGGCCAGGCCGAGGCCAGGGGCCAGGGGCCAGGAGCCTTTTCCAGGGCTCACCCGTGGGTGCAGGGGCCCAAGCTCTCTGCCGTCTTCTGCTGCCTTCCCGGGTGTATCAGCAAGGGTGCTGCATGGGAGGCGGAGCAGCTGGGACTCGGATGGTCACTCTGACACGGGCTGAACCTGCTGCACCCCAGTGGCGGCCACAGTACCACGAGTGACAAGGTCCAGGCACAGAGGACGGACAGAGGGACAGAGGGAGCCACTAGGAGTGAACCAGCAGACGGAAGCACTCTCGCTCGCGCTCTCTGCCTTTCAAATAAAACAAACCTTACCAGACAGAGCGCAGCCCTCATGACGGTGACACACACACCAGGGGCGGCCTGGCCATGGGGCTGGCTGGGCACAGGGTGGGAGGCGGGGTGGCGGAAGGTGTGGTCACGGCCTCCCGGGTGTGCACACACACAGGCACATGAGCGCGCTCATCCTGCTGTGAGCTGCGCCTACGTGACACCTCGCGGCCCGCCCCCCTTCCTCCCCAGGGACAGCCCCAGGCCTCCAGAATGCCCCAGGGACAGGCAGAGCAGGGCCTGATGCTGCTGCGTGCATCCGTGTCTCTCAGGCGTCCACTGTCAGCAGACGCCTGCCCTGGGCCTGCAGCCGGAGCAGTGACCAGGCCACACAGGGCTCCTCACTCGGGAACGGGGGACCGGCGGGGCTGGGGCTGCGGCCAGAGGCAGAGGGCGGGGTCATCGGGTGCCAGCCGTCCCCTGGCACTGGCACGCGCAGCCCCCACTGGTGCTTCCCCGCCAAGTGTGGCAGGCTCCTCTTTACCAGGTCTCCCTCTGGTAACCCCCGGCCCGAGGTCGGCCTACCAGAACTTCCCAGCCCGGCTTCCAGCCTCCACCCACTCCTCTGGCTCGTTCCAGCCCAGGCAGTGTGGCCCCTGGCTGGTCTCAAAGTGACCCCACTGTTCCCCTCAGGGCCTTCTCATTGCTCACTTTGGAGCTCAGACGGCACCTCCTCCAGGAAGTCCTCCCTGCCTGTCCCCTCTGCCAGGCTATACACACATCTGTGTCCTCATTTGTCTGAGGTTCCCTGAGAACAGCGGCTGCTCTGGGGTCTCTCACAGCTGTGCCCCAGCACCCAGGACACAGCCTGGCCCGCGGCGGGTGCCCAGGAAACATCTGTGCAGCGGCCATGTGGGTGGGGAGGAGAAGGCCAGAGTAACACCGGGGCTCCAGCGTGGACACAGAAGGGACAGCAAGTCTGGGCATGGCAGGGACCACTCAGCACCCTGGAGGCCAGTGGCTCTCCAGATAAGCTGTCTGGATGTGGGCCTGGGGAGAGGGGCACTGTGGGGAGACACGACTGGGCCCCACCCCCTCGGAACCCAACAGTCAACGGGCGAGAGCAGAAGAGGCGGGAAGGGGCTCTGGGCCGCAGGTGGACAGGTGCCCGGGGAGAGCTTCTGCCCACCCACGGGGCGCCCGCGGCTGGCACGGATTGCTCAAGGCGCTGTTGCCTTACTTCTGAGCAAACACTTCAGTGCAGGAGGCAGACTTTCGAAACCTCTGATATGGGGCGTCCCGGCTGCGGAGGGCTGGCGGGTGTGTGTGTGTGTGTGTGTGTGTGTGTGCGTCCCGCCCTGCGGCCCACCGGACGCCTCCTTTCCACCTGCCGCCTGGTCACCTCGTTCAGCCCACTGGGGCACCCGCCTCCCCCTTCCCCAGCTGCACTGCCAGGACCTTGTCCCGGGCCTGTGGGGCCGGTATCTCCTGACCTCACCACGCCAGCCCTGTCAAAGCCTCTGGGGAGGGAAAGGCGAGGCCCAGAGAGGGAAGCGCCTCCTCCCCAGTGCTCCCCTGCACAGGGTGGCAGAGCTGAGCCCCCATGGGGCCTGAGCTTCCCCGGGCACTGTGCACAGCCGCGGCCAGCGGCAGCACTGTGGCCACCCTGTGCCTGGCCCGTGGCCACCCTGTACCTGGCCACAGGCTGGGGTCGCGCGAGAGGCTCCGACACGTTGGCGGAAGGAGCCGGGCAGCTTCGGGGAAGTCGTCTTTCCCGCTTCCCGGGTCTGGCCGGGCTCAGAAGCCCTGCAGGCGGCCTCGTGAGCTGCAGCTCTTGGGTGGCTTCCAAGGCAAGCAGAGGGCCAGGGACTTGGGGAGGGCGCCGGGTGGAGCAGGAAGGGGCGGCCGCGCTCACCTGCTCCCGGGCTCAGGCGGCACCCGCGCCTCTCCCAGTTCTGGCTCCCATGTGGGGAGGTGGCCTGGCCAGCGCTGCTCTCACAGGCCCCTGGGAAACATGCCTGGGTCTCGGCCACACCTGGCCCCTCCCCCAGGGAAGCCCCTGCCGCCCTGATGAGGGGGCTTCTCAGAGGTCACGGGCAATGGAATCAGGGCTGGGGCCGGCGCAGTGGCAGAGCGGGTAAAACCGCCGCCTGCAGCACTGCCATCCCATATGAGGGCCGGTTCTAGTCCCAGCTGCTCCTCTTCCCATCCAGCTCTCTGCTCTGGCCTGGGAAAGCAGTGGAAGATGGGCCAAGTGCTTGGGCCCCTGCACCTGCGTGGGAGACCCGGAAGTAGCTCCTGGCTCCTGGCTCTAGATCGGCCCAGCTCCAGCCGATGAGGCCAACTGGGGAGTGAACCAGCGGATGGAAGACCTCTCTCTCTCTCCCTCTCTTTCTGTAACTCTGCCTTTGAAACAAATAAGTTAAAAAAAATTGGAGGCAATTTTCCCCCCGAAATCTATGCACACGAGGGAAAAGTTTATGAGAAAAAAAAAAAAAAACCTATGCACCGATTAAAAACATTTTTTTTGCACCCAAATAAACTTTTTCTGGTTTTGTCTGCAAGGCAGAGAAAGAGACAAACACAGCGATCGGCTGGTTGGCTCCCCCAGATGCCCAGAGGAAGGGCGCCTGGCGGCGGCTGCAGCTGCAAACAGAGCACCGGACCCGGGCCCGCCAGGCGCGTGGCGGGGCCCCAGCGACCCGGGCCTCCCAGGCTCTGCGTGGACGGAGGCGGGCACCGAACCCAGGACACAGGACACCTGCCCCTCCCGGCTGCTGGGCCCCCTGCAAACGCCGGGCCCACTCCGTGCCTCGGTTTCCCCACTCTGTCCACCGCCCACGCCACCTAACCCTAACCTCACTCAGTGTCACGATGACGTCAGCGGTTCCCACGGGGTGGCGGCGCCCGGGAGAAGGCGGGACCGGCCGCGAGCGCACGCTGTCCACCACCCCCCGCCACGCCTGGCCACCTCCGGCCAAGGGTCGCGCCGTCCACCCACCCCTCCCACGCCGGGGGCCGGCTGCGGCCCGCCCTCCCCGCCGCGGAGGCCCGAGACCCTGGCCCGAATCGCCAGCGGGCACGCGGCGGTGGGGGTGGGTGGGGTGCAGGGGAGGGGCGGCGTCGCCCGTTACCTGGCAACGGCGGAGGCGGCAGCCCACCTCGCCACCTGGCAGCAGGGCGGGCCTCGCGGACTGGAGACCCCCGCCCTGCTGGGTGGGGGACCCTCGGGTGGGGCCGCCCGGCCGCCTCGCCTACCGCTGGGTGGGGTCCACGGGTCGTTTACCTAACAGGGCGAGGCCCCCGCCGGTTACTCGGCAGCGGGGAGGCTGGGTGGGGAGCGCTCAGTACCTTGCCCTTCAGGTCCAGCACGTACACAGCGCTGGCGGACATGGCGGCTGCGGGAGGCCTCGGCGGCAACCGAGGGCGGCGGCGGCGGGCACGGCCGGGCGTGGGGCGAGGCCGGGCGCGCCCGGCGACGGTTCCCCTCCACTTCCGGCCCGGAGCGCCGCGCGCGGACCGTTATGTCCGGGCTGAGGGCGAGGGGGGCGGGGCGGCCAGGTCTGCGCAGGTGCGGGAGGGCTAGGCGCAGGCGCAGTACGCCCGGGGAGACCGTATTTCTCGCTGCGCTCCTCGAGCGGCCGGAAGTGGGGCGCGGGGGGCGGGGCCGGCGGAATCGGGGCGACTCCGGCCGGCCGCGGCGCTCTGGTGAAGCCGGGCGGGTCCAGACCCGTGGAGCTCGGCCTGGCCGGGGAGCGTAGCCTACACACAGCCACCAGGGGTGACGCGTCCTAGGGCAGGGCGAAGGCGGTGCTTCTCTGTGCAGAGGTCAAGCTCTGGCCTCCCGCCTTCTCCGGCCACCTGTCAGTGTCCACGTGGGTCACCGCGCCAGCCCGCGGTTTACTGCTCGGAATGCCCTCGTGAAAAACCGCAAGCCACTGCTGGGCACGTGTGCTTTCCTGCTGCATTTTTAGCGGCCCTGGTCGGGTCATAACCAACGGCGTGTCTGCATTCTTCAGCTGAAATGTTTTTAGAAAAAATTTTATTTATTTTAAAGACAGAGTTACGGGGGTGGGGGGAGGTCTTCCATCTGCTGGTTCACTCCCCAGATGGCCGCAACGGCCGGAGCTGAGCCGAATCGAAGCCAGGAGCTCCATCCGGGTTTCCCACGCAGGTGCAGGGGTCCAAGGACCTGGGCCGTCTTGTACTGCTTTCCCAGGCCACAGCAGAGAGCTGGATCAGAAATGGAGCAGCCGGGACTCGAACCGGCGCCCCTATGTGATGCCAGCACTGCGGGCGGAGGCTTTACCTGCTGCGCCAGGTGCATCCCAGTGCTACCCGGGACACTGCTTCCTGCTGGGTCCGCGCCCTCCCGCCGTTCCCCTGAGACCCTGGTTTCGCTCCGGCCCGCCGGATGAGCAGGTGGGCTGGGTGCCCGTCAGGCCGCTCCCCACTGGGCACCCAGCCCCGCGGCACAGAGGACAGGACTCATCTCCGGCCGCTATGGCTCAGGCAATCAGACGCCCAGACTCCTCTTCAGTGACGCTTTTGCTTTATTCCGCGGCTTTTACCAGACAGCCCCCGCCCCGGCGCGGCCCCCTCTCCCGAGCGCCTGGGCCACCCGGACACTGTTTCTCCCAACATCGCGGCCGCCGCATCACAGCACACGCGTGCCCACTCAGGGACCAGTGCTCCAAGGTTTCCACGGTGAGGAACATCGCGATCGATTAGCAATGTCTGCCTTGGCACTGGACACCCATCAGAGGCGCCTGGAAGAAGAGTGCTGCGGGTGCTCCGGGCTCACCGGAAGTGAGGCTACTGCTGCAGCTCACCGAAGTGGTTTCTGCTGTTCACCGGAAGTGCTGCTCCTGAACCAGCTCACCGGAAGTGCTACTTCTGTTTCAAGTGTCTGTGGCAATTCACCGGAAGTGCTGCTTCTGTTCATCTCACCGGAGAGGTTTCTGCTGCAGGCTCACCGGAAGTAGTGCTGCCACTCTGGCTCACCGGAAGTGGGGCTGCCCCTCCAGGCTCACCGGAAGTACTGCTCTCACTCCAGCTCACCTTAAGTGGCGTGTCTGCCACCCGAGCTGCAAGCCCACGGAGCCCGTGTGGAGCAGCAGAAGCCACACGGAGCCTCGAAGGCTGCCCACGCCGTCTTAGCGCCTCTCTCCTGGGGTGTCCGTCTCATGGGGTGGGGGGGCAGACACTGGCGAGGTGACCTTGACCTCCGGATACAAACGCGGCGCTCCGGGCCCAGACTACCAAGGTTTCCCCTCCAAGAACGCACAGTCGCGTGGGTGGGGGGCGTTCTCGCTTTAATCGGGTTCCAGGAGGAGGGGGGCAGGGGATGGGGGGTTGCGGCGCCCAAGGGCGCCCCTCGCGCGCGGCCGGGGGCTACTTTGTCCAGCTGACTTTGGGGATGTCGTAGTGCTCCGTGAGCGTGTCCAGGTGTCTGTTGAAGTCCTGGGTACAGAGCAGAGAGCCGGCGTCAGCGCGGGGCCCCACCGCCTCCGCCCACACCGCCCCGCCGGCCCGGGCCTCACCTCCACCCTCTGCTTGTGGGTTTTGGATGCTTTCTTCAGGATCCGTTCCATTTGCTGCAAAGACAGGAGACGCGGGCGTGAGTTCGCGTGCTCCCCAGGAAGCCGGACCGGGACCCAGGCGCGGACCCGGGATCCCGCGCCCGGCCCTCCGGCCCCGATCCAGCACCTCTCGGCTGCACGTGCACCGGGGTCCCCTCGGCGCCCAGCCCCCTCCCCCGGCCCCGCACCCGCTTCTCCTGCATCTTCTCGAAGGCCGCCTGCGCCGGGGTCCGCTTGTCCAGGCAGCGCCGCTTCTCCTCCTCGCTCTTCTTGCTCGTCCCCATCGCTTCCAGGAGCTTCGCCTTGTCTTTGTCCTTCTTCTTCTTCTTCCTGGGAGGGGGGAGACCGAGACGGGGGCAGGTGAAGAGAGCACGAGACAGACGCCCCAGGCCCCCCGGGAAAGATGGGGGCGGGCGGGGGGCGCGGCACCGCGGGCTCCCGGGCCTCTCACCGCTTGGTCACGCCGAGCTCTGCGACGCCTTTCAGCTTCAGGGGACCCCTTTGGACCTGCTCGTAGGCTTCCATGGCTGCCGGCCCGCCGTTCGGAAGGCGGAATGCCACACTTCCTGTTTGCAAACACTAGGCCCGCCCCCAACGCCCGCCCCCCTGCTTCCTGATTGGTAGAACTAGGCCACACGCATGCGCTCTTAGGTTCTGAAGGCATTTCCGGTTTGGGGCGTGGCGAGGAGGCCGGCGCGTCGGCGTCCTGTACGACTCGCCTCCCGCCACACTTCCTGTTTGGAGACCCACTTCCGGCTCTGAGGCTCTAGGTAGAATCCGTGCAGCCGTTTTCCTTTCTGAGTGTTTTCGGAGCCGCTGGGGGTCCCGTTCTCGGTTTTTGCCACGATTTGAGCGGTCGGTGGATACCCGGATGTAATTTTGTGAACTTAACCAATGCTCGTTAATTTTTCAGCTTTTGGTGAATGACCGCATTACTTGAACTCTGCTGATGTACTAAAGTTTTTTTAAGAATTTTTAAAGATTTATTTTATTTATTTGAAAGAGTTGCGTAGAGCAGTAGAGAGAGAGAGAGAGAGGTCTTCCATCCGCTGGTTCACTCCCTAATTTTTAGGCCACAATGGCCGGAGCTGGGCTGATCCGAAGCCAGGAGTCAGGAGCTTCTCCTGGGTCTCCCACGTGGGTGCAGGGGCCCAAGCACTTGGGCCATCTTCCACTGCTCTACCAGGCCATAGCAGAGAGCTGGGTGGGAAGTGGAGCAGCCAGGACTCGAACCGACACTCGCAGATCCAGCACCGCAGGCTGCAGCTCAGGCCGGCGCCCACCCGATTTTTAAAATTGAATTTAATTCATTTTATAGAGGGGCCACAAGGGGTAGAGGACACTTTTAAAAAAATGTGGTTGAGGTGCCCAGTAGGACGCCCACGTCCCGTGTCAGCCTCACGCACCCCCTGCCAGCTCCCTGCTGATGGAGACGCTGGGAGGAGGCCACCGGGCCCCCGCCACTCAACACGAACAACTTGATTAAGTTCCCAGCTGCCAGCTGTTTGGGCCGCGTCCCAGCAGGTGCTGTGGGCATTTGGGGAGTGAACCAGCGGCCAGCGTATGGAGGATTTCTCTCCCTCTCTCCCTCTCTCCTTCTCTCCCTCTCATCAATAAACCAGTTTTCCAAAGTTCCATATAAATGAAACAGTGTTCCAGGCGGATGCTGGAGGCTTTTCCGTCCTCTCGCTGGGCCTAACAGTTCATTCCCCTGCGCTTCTGCGCCTTCTCCCATCGTGCAACCCGATCCGCTCTGTCCACTCACCTGCGGCCGACACCTGGGCCAAGTCCAGGTCGGACCATCACTACGGGAGTCTTTTGTTCGGATGTTGGCTCCGTTCCTCTTGGCCGCGCCCCTGTCGCCTCCGTAGGCTGAAGCTTGATGGTGACAAGCTTTGGATGTCCCCAAAATACAAGCTTCATTCTCAGCGTCCCGGCTTGGAGGCCGCAGGGAGGCAGACGGGGACCATCCGATGCGCCCAGGCTGAAGCCGGGAGCCGGGAGCTCCATCCTAGTCCCGCGTGGATGGCAGGGGCCCGAGGACTTCCTCAGTGACTCGTCCCCAACCAGCGAGTGGCCACGGGCTTTGCCAGTGGCCGTCACCCCTGCGTGGCGGCCCCGTCGCTGGGCCCAGACTGTGGACATTCGTGCATCGGATTTCTGGGGGCTGTCGCTCCCTGTTTTCCAGGGAGCGTGTTTTGGAGGCGGTGAGGGTGGGGGAGAGGAGAGGGCAGAGGGGTGAAGACTTCAGAAACCGGTCGAGTCGGCAAACCTGCAGGGAGACGGGACCCAAAAACGGGGACCGCGGCGGCCTTTCCCAGTCCTACCAGCAGGGGGCAGCAGGCAGACGTCCAATGCTGGATCTGCCCTGAGAGAATGGACTTCCCGCTGTCCGGCCGGACCTTGGGCCGCACGGAATCAGAGACGGACAGGACAGACTCAGATGGACCAGCCTGCTCCCCCCCAGCCAGCCCAGCAGCCTGGCCTCAGAGGCTGCTTGAGACAGATCTTGGAGATTGGCACTTCCAATGCTGTGTGCCCTGGAGCAAGTGGCTTGACCTCTCTGGACTTTCTTTTTCCCTCGCTTATATTGGAGCTTTGTTTATTTGTTTGTTTGGGATGCAGGGCTACAAGAAAGGGGAAAGGGGAGGGAGAGATCTTCCATCCGCTGGTTCACTCCCCAAATGCCTGCAACGGCTGGAGCTGAGCTGATCCGAAGCCAGGAGCTTCTTCTGGGTCTCCCACGCGGGTGCAGGAGGCCCAAGGACTTGGGCCATCTTCTGCTGCTCTCCCAGGCCACAGCAGAGAGCTGAATTGGAAGTGGAGCAGCCTGAACTAGAACCCGCGTCCCTATAGGGTGCTGCCTGTGTCAGCTTTACCCACTGCACCACCACTGTGGCCCCAGGCTGAGAGCTGTCCACCCCGAGTCTCTGCCAGGAGGATTCTGGGTATTCACAGGCTGCTCCCCTGGGGGGTGCACGGTGCCCACTGGACCCTGAAGGCTCTGACAAGTCCTGGTCTGATTGACAGCCGCAGGCGGGACTCAGGATTCAGTCCGGTCACAGCTGGCTGATCTGAACCCCCAACCTGTGCTTTAGATGTCCAGAGTGACCCCAGGAGGTGGACACTTACTTAACCCCCAGCTCCCCAAGGCTCAGAGAGGGCAGGCGACCTGGCCGAGGTCACACAGCAGACGGCTGGGATTTGCCTCCCTGAACCCCCGATGGTGGTGGCGTGGACACGTCCAGGCTGCTGTCCAGCGAGCTTGGCTGTAACCCGAGTCTCTCCCAGGCTGGGGGGTGACAGGGCGGATCGGGCGGGGGTGGGGTGGGGTGGGCAGGTGACAGCCAGGGCAGGAGTATTTTCCCAGACGCTGGTGCACAACAGCCTGGCACTGCAGACGGAGGCCCGGAGGGAGACCGAGGGCTGGTCAGCGGGGCACGCAGGGACCTGAGAGTCCAGGCCGTGGCCTTGGCCATGGGCAACAAGCAGAGCGTTTTCACCCCTCAGCAGCTGGAGGAATTCCAGGTGAGAGCAGCAGTCGGAGGGCCTCAGTGGGACTCACAGGAGATCTGCGAAATGGGCCCAGCGCCGGTCATCTGGGTGTGCGGCCGGCTCGGGGGTTCTGGAGCAGGTGCATGTCGGGGCGGGTGGCGTTAGGGTCATCTGGCGGGTGTGTGGCCGGAGGGAGGCGGGGCCCGAGGGTTCTAGAAGCAGGGTTGGGGCCAAGTCGGTGTCTCTCCCCCCCATCCCCCCAGGACTGCACCTTCTTCACCAGGAAGGAGATCTTGAGGTCAGCGGGGTCAGGGTCATGGCTGGGGGAGGGGGGTCTTTGCATTTGCCCGGGACACGGGCGCGGGGAGGGGCCGCAGAGGGAGGAGTCGCTTCTTCTAGCCTTGTCGCAGCCTGGGCTTTCTCCCAAGGTTACCTACCGGGTAGCTGCCCAGCGGGTGTGAGCTGGGGAGATGCCCCCGCCCCCTGCCCCCAGGCCTGGAGTCAGGGCGGGGACCCCAGCTGTGGGGGTGGGGGTCCAGAGCCGGCTGTGGGCTGCTGGGGGGGGGTGGCCCGAGGCTCTGGCATGTTCCCCAGGGTCGGGGTGGTGGTGTCTAGGCAGGGCATGGCCCCCCGAGACCTTGGCCTTGAACTCGGGGCTGTTGAAACCCAAGCTGGCTCGGGGTTCAGCGGCCGAGCGACCCGGGGACATGGCCCCCACGTGTGTGGGCGCATGGGCCATTTATAATTCATGGGCGCACCTCTCACCCACGCGCCCCGTTGTCCGGGCGAGGACGAGGCCAGCTCGCAAGGGGTCACCCTGAGGCTCCCACAGGCCGGCGCTGACCACCGCCCACCTCACCCCCCGAGGAGAGGAGAGTCCCAGGGGAGGGGTCCTACGCCCCTGGCTTCGTCAGACAGAGCAACAGAGGCCCAGGGAGGGAGGAGCCCTCGCCCAAGGCCACACGGAAACCCAACCCGAGGGAGGGGGCTTTGCGGGGCTAGGGCCCAGGGGCTCCTGGCTCCCTCGGAGACACCGCCTAGCACCCCGGGGCGCTCGGCCCCATCACGGGAGGAAGGTACGAGAAGGGTGGGCAGGCGTCCCAGGCAGGCAGGTACTGGTCTCCTCCTCCGAGTTGTCCCCCGCGAACTCCTACTCATGCTTCAAAGCCCAGCACCCCTGCTGCCTTCTCTTTGTGAGCTGAGGGCCCGAGGCTCCCGCCTCCCCGGCGTCCGTCTCCCCGCTCCAGGCTCTTCTATCGGTACCAGGACCTGGCGCCCCAGCTGGTCCCGCTGGACTATACCAGCTGCCCGCAGGTCAAGGTGCCCTACGAGCTGATCTGCGGCATGCCCGAGCTGAAGGTACGTCGGCCCTGGGCGGGCAGGCAGGCAGACCGGCAGGGGGACTTCCCTCCATGCCATTATTTCAGCAGTGACCAGCCGGGCTCAGAGACGTCAGGACACTGGGCATGGTCACACAGCGGTGGCCTCACGGAGACAAGATGGAGGGCTGGGGACGGGGCAGGATGGGGTCACTGCGGTGAGGGGCTCCACCCGGGGCCTGCTGCGGGGCAGAGAGTCGGTTCTCTCCATACCAAGCCCTGTATAAAGGCCGGGTCCTCATGGCCGCACGTTTGCCTCATTGTTGACGCCCCTCAAGGGAGCTGGGGTGGAGCATGACCCTCCGTCAGCCCAGCTTCCGGTCTCCTCAGCCCAGCTTCCGGTCCCCTCAGCGCCACAGCCAATAGAAAGCAAGGCTCTCCCAGCCAGGGCAGCCTCTGATTGGTCAGTTCGCATCACGTGTTCTGCCCAGAGCCAATCCACAGTGGCTAAGCAAAGACAATCCTGGATTGGCCATCCTGGGATCACGTGGCTGCCCTTGGAGCTGGAAGTGGTGGCCATGTTGACCAGTGGGGCTTGGAGCGTGGATCCCGGAAGTCCTGTTGGGGAGCCTGGGCGGTAGGGTGCCCTAGGTGAGGGCCCAGCAGAGCGGCGGGTGCTGAGGGTGGGCCGATGGGGGTGTCCCGGCGATTCTGGCCGAAGGCTAGCCTCCGTTATTCCCTCTGGTGCCCAGGATAACCCCTTCCGCCAGCGGATCGCCCAGGTCTTCTCTGAGGACGGCGACGGGCACATGACCTTGCACAACTTCCTGGACATGTTTTCCGTGATGAGCGAAATGGCTCCCCGTGACCTCAAGGCCTACTATGCCTTTAAAATCTATGGTGGGTGCACAGCCCGGGGTAGGCGAGGCGTGGAACAAGATGGAGCCCACCACAAATGGCTCCCCGAGGGCTTTGGGGGCCCGGCCTGCTCCTCCGCCCACCCTGGCCCCTTGCTCACCCCATTCCCGCCACACTGGCCTTGAACACAGCAGATGCCGTGTGCCCCAGGCCCTTTGCACCTGCTGCGCTCGCTGCCTGGGGTACCTTTCCCTCTGTTCCCTCTCAGCCTGTCAGCCTCCATCACCAGGCGGTGCGGCCTCATTTCTCGTAGGAGGGGCCGGCGCTGCACCTGCAGTACCAGCATACCATAGGGACCCCAGTTCGAGTCCCGGCTGCTCCACTTCCGGTCCAGCTCCCTGCTGTGGGAAAGCAACAGGCGATGGCCCACGTGCTTGGGCTCCTGCATCTGCGTGGGAGACCCGGATGGAGCGGACTTAGAGCCCACGCTGCGTAGCTCACGCCATACTTTTTGAATGATGGGTGACATATACTTAGACCATGCAAGCACACAGTAGGCGCGCGCTGAATACTTAGGCAATCCACAAGTCAGACTCCCAGCAGGTCCCTGCACAAGTCCGGTGCAAAGACTACCCAGGCTGTGCGGCAGGCTCTCGGGGGCCGGCCCATGGCCTCGGGTTCTGTCTCTGCGACCAGGGCCAGCCCAGCCCCGCCCCCGTGGCCTGTCCCCCACCCCCCGCCCTGCAGATTTTAACAACGACGACTACATCTGCGCCTGGGACCTGGAACAGACGGTGAGCAGGCTGACGCGGGGGGAGCTGAGCGCCGAGGAAGTGAGCCTCGTGTGTGAGCGGGTTCTGGACGAGGCCGACGGGGACCACGACGGGCGGCTGTCCCTGGAAGACTTCCAGAACATGATCCTGCGGGCGCCTGACTTCCTCAGGTGCCCTGCGGCGTTCACGGCCTGATCCAGTCCGCAGACCGTGCAACTGTCGCTGGACAGCCTTGCGGGAGAATCAGAACCCAGTACCGCCAGGCTGACAGGGAGGGTAACATGGATTAGCCCAGGGGCTACCTGCTGTGCGCTAAGATGGTTTTACCTGCTAGGCCACAGCGCCGGCCTGTGACAGTCCAAGCCCGTGAGATCACCTTCCCCTGGGATAAGCCACAGGTTCCCTGGTAGACGGTCCTGAGCGCCGACACATAGAGGGTCCCCTGCCTGGGGCCGCACCTGCTCCGGTGCCCTGCAGGTTCACCCATTTTGCAGAGGTGCAAACTGAGGCCTAGAGAGAGCAGCGCAGAGCCCCTCCCCGCCACCCCCTTAGCAATTTCCAGGCAGAGCCGCGTCCCCGCGTCTGAGTGCCGGGGGTACCCAGGGGGGCAGCAGGTGACGGCCACGTCGGGGTCCCGGCTTCAGCCTGGCCCAGCCCTGGCCTCTGTGCGGCTTTGAGCGGTTGGCCCATTCATTGTATCTTCAATTAGATGCAGTAACCAACACCTTGATACAATGTTGCTCTTGAAGCCGCAGCAGGTGCCCTGGATGGGGGAGGGGGGAGGGAGTGCTGCCCCCTGCTGGCGCCGCGATGGCCTTCTCTCTCTCTCACAGCACCTTCCACATCCGCATCTGAGCCGGCGGACCCGGGAGGGAGCCCTCCGCGCGCTCGGAGCCCTGGGGACTCTGCCCGGGCCCTGGGCGTGCACTCAGGCCAGCGAGCCTCACCGGACGCACGGCTCCCGACGCTGTGTGACTCAGGGACCGGCCGCACTCTGGTCCGGGATCTCCCTGTTTGTTTAAAAAAAATAAAAAAATAAAAAAAAAAGGGAGGCGAGGGCTGCTTTCTAGATCTTTCCACACTTGTGAAGGCCAGAAGTGGCTCTCTACTGTGGCCTGGGAAAGCAGTGGACGAAGGCCCAAGTCCTTGGGCCCCTGCCCCTGTGGGGGAGACCTGGGAGCCCTGGAGGTGGGCGTGGTGGGGCCAGGTCAGCACTGGGCACACAGCAGGTGCCTGACCCGGCGGGCACCGTTGACAACCGTGGGAATAGGTCCCCAAAGCACTTTATTAGTGTCCCTGGTCCCTGGGGACTGGAGACAGTGGGGAGGGGAGGCTCAGGGCTAAGGCTGGCCCCCCAGCGGCAGGGGCCCGGAGCCTGGATCGCCCTGTCCTCTAGCAGTACCCTGGCGCAAAGGGCGGCGGCGGGCGATACTCCTCGGGGAGCCAGTCCTCGGGCTGTTCCAAGTCCCCCGGCCGCGGCTCGGACCCGTGGGAGGACAGCGCCCTCACGGCCGCGTGGTGCCAGCTGCGGTGCCTGGGTGTCGGCTCGCTCCAGCTCGTAGACCTGGTGGCCTTCCTGGAGGGGGCGTCTCTGTCTTTCGAGGGCTGAGAGAGGCTTTTCAGGGATGTGGCCACCGAGGATTCCGCGGAGGAGACACTGCCCGCCCGGGCCGGGTGTCCCGAGTGTCCCTGGCTGCCTGTGCTGGCCCCGGAGCCCTGGGTCGCCGCCGTCCGCCCGGGGTCCCGGAGCGACGAGAAGCTCACAGCTGAGAGGCGGGACCTCAGCTGCTCCTGGAGCCTCTTGCCTACTTGCGGCAGAGCTTTGAGGTTCCTCCAGACTCCCTGCCGGGCCTCCCCGAGAGGGGCTTCCGGGCTGGGTCCGCGGTCCGTCTCTGTCGATGGCTTGCTGTCCGTGGGCCGACGGTCGCCGGGGCCATGGGCGGAGCGGCAAGCGTCCTCCGCCAGTGCGGTGGAGTAAATGAAGAGATCTTGGTAGTCCACGTTTTCTGGATCCTCCTGGGGGCAGGAGGGCCCTGCAGCTCAGTCCCACGCGGGGCGAAAGAGGCTGGGCTGGGGCCTGGGACACGCCCGGGCAGGCGGGTCCCAGGAACTTCCCCGCCCACAGCAGGGAACCAGGTCCCACCCACCAAAATGTCTACGGAAATAGGCCCCGCCCACGGCAGGTCTTGGCCTGTAGGCCACACACACTGAGCCCTCTGAGGACTTGTGCCCCACCCACACAGAGTCTCAGGGCCCAGCCATGCCCCCTGAATCTAACAGGGAGTCGGGTCCCGCCCACAACAGTGCCGCTGCAGACCACACCCACTGAATAATAATAATAAGGAATCATGCCCGGCAGGTAACAGCTAAGCCCTGGGCCACATCCACCGAGCCTTATAAGGACTCGTGCCCCGCCCACCACAGCAAAGCCCCCGGGCCACGCCCACCGAGCCTTATACAGACTCGCGCCCCGCCCACCACAGCTAAAGTCCTAGCTCACGCCCACCAAGCCTTATACAGACTCGCGCCCCGCCCACCACAGCGAAGCCCCCGGGCCACGCCCACCAAGCCTTATACAGACTCGCGCCCCGCCCACCACAGCGAAGCCCCCCCGGGCCACGCCCACCGAGCCTTATACAGACTCGCGCCCCGCACCCCACAGCGAAGCCAGGGCCGGCCGCGGCCTTGGCGGTCCTCACCTGCCCGCAGGGCTGTGTCAGCAGCTCCTCCGCACGCGACTGGACCGGGTGCTGCTGGTGGAAGGTGACCAGGGCGCCCAGCGAGGCGTGGGCCACCTGCTCCCCGGGGATCACGAAGCTGCCGTCGTCCAGGAGCTTGACCATGAAGTGGCGGCAGCAGCCGGGGGCTCTGCGGAGACACCGCCTCCCCTTGAGCGGCCCACAGCCCGCCCGCCCCAGCGCGCCTCCGGTTCCCCACTGGCGACCCGGAGCCGCGAAGGTTCACGCCAAGCCTGGCCAGGGCTCAGTGTAACCCCCGAAGAAGGCTAGGTGCCTAGCACACAGCAGGCGCTCAATAGATGCTTGGCCAATCTCTGAACGGATGCAATGGCCCACGAAGGGCTTTGAGAGGCCGAGAGGGGTTGAGTGACTTTCTAAGGTCGCACAGCAAGAAATGACAAAGCCAGTCTTAGGCTGTGTGACCCGGGGGCCAAGGGTTTCCCATGGTGGGTAGCTGTAGTTAAGCCATTGGATTTTTTTTTTTTCCCATCCAGAGCAGCCGGGGCTGAGCCAGGCCAAAGCCAGGAGCCTCACCCAGGTCTCCCAGGTGGATGGCACAGACCCAGGCGCTGGAGCCACGCCTGCACCTGCTACCTCCCAGGGTGCGCATGAGCAGGGGAGCAGAGGCGGGAATCCCTCGCAGCGCCCCGACGTGGGGTGTGGCTGCCTGAACCCCGCACCTGCCTTCTGCGGCCGCACACCGAAATCGGATTCGGCTTTGGGCCTCCCCGCGTCTTCCTCCCCCAGAAGGGTCCGACTTGGCCAAGACAAGAATGCCCGCCTGCAATGATGAAAGCCTAGGCCACGCCCACCGCGCCGCCAGGGCACCCTGCCCCGCCCACAAGCCGTCTCCAGGCCAACAGGCCACGCCCAGAGTGCACCTGCCGCCAGCCTGGGCCCCCTAATCCGAGGCTTACTTGTAGGACAGGGTGTAGCCCACGTGGCTGTGGCTGACCCGGATGAGAAAGGACCCCAGCGGCTGTGACTCCAGCAAGTTCTCGGCGGTCCTGGGGGGTGGGGGTGGGGTGGACACACACACACAGGGAGGAGATAGTCAGGGTCCAGGCTCCTGTCCCCCCGGGGTCCTCCTAGGACTTTGTGGTTTTTTCCAAACGAACAATCAGAGCCTGGGCTCTCCATGGTGGTCTGAGGTTTCTGGGGAACCTTGATCCCGGGGCCTGTCCATCACCCCCTACCTCTCCCAGGCCAGGCATCACCAATCGATAAGGAGCGGGATGCAGGGGTCACACGGCCTCCTCTCGTGTCCCCCACCCCCACCCAAGTTAGGGCTCCTCTGGGCGGATCCGGGTGGCACCGGGAAGGTCGTGGGTTCCCAGGCCCCAGCTCCGCTGCTCATTACGCTGTGTGACCTCAGGCCGAGCTCTGTCCGTCTCTGATCCTCAGCAGCCTTAAAGGCACAGCAACCCCATTGCCAGACGAGCTGGGAGCGTCTGTTCCGGATACTAGGGACTTTGATCTGTTTGTTTTTGTCCTTGTCGCCTGCGTGTCCGCGGGATGTGGGAGGACCCGGAGCAGATCCCACACAGGGACCCAGGGTGAATGGTGAGTGTGTCCTGGGACTTTCTCTGGAAGCATTTTTTTGGCTCGATCATGTGCCCAGAATGATGGATGCTTTCTTGGTTACACTGGAAATAAGAGAGAATTAACTTGTGATGCCCGCGGCCGTGACCAGTGGGCCGCCAGGGTGCTCCCTCTTCCCGTGTCCACGGCTTCCTGTCCACTTCCTGCGTGCAGATGGTGGCCCTGGCTGCCTTGTCTACGTCTATGTGGAGCCAGGCCTCAGAGGGCTGGCTTGCTCGCGTCCTCGCCTGGACGCTTTGGTTCTATCCGGATGGACTGAGAGGAGCTGTGTTGAGAAGGATTCTGAGGCTGCATCCTGCTCCTTATAGATTGGTGATGCCTGGCCTGGGAGAGGTAGGGGGTGCTGGACAGGTAGAGCTGAGGTCCAGAGAGGGGAAGTCGCTTGCACACGGTCACACAGTGAGTCAAGGAGGAGGCAGTTTTGGGGGCTGGGAAACTCAGATTCGTTACATCGTGAGCCCAGCCTAGAATTCTGCTCAGGATTGGGGCCGAGGAAAGACAGGGCAGGGGGAGGGCGTGGGTTGTGCTCACTCTCTTGAGATGGTGCCATGGAACCATGCGGGGATGCCGTCTTGGGTCAGCTGGTCCATCTGGGTGTGCACGAACCAGTCCAGACGTGGGGGTAGCGGGGGAGGCAGCTTTCTGGCCTCTGTCATGGCTGCCCCAGGGTCGGGGGGACGTTACCTGTGGGTGAGAGAGACAGAGAAAGGGTCAGACTTGGCCCACTGCTCAGCTTGGCTCTGTTCTTGCAGCTTATGGTGCCGCTTCCATCGAGAAGTCCTCCAGGCTGGACAGAGCAATGCGTTCAACACCGGCTTGCATTTCCCAAGCACCTACTGTGTGCCTGGCATTTTGTGTGTAGTCACTCAACAGCTCCTTCCAAGAAATCCCTGAAGAGCTTTCCCTTTTGTGTTTAGTCTTATTAACGCCATTATGAAAAGAGCTAGGGAGCTGGCGCTGTGGTGCAGCGGGTAAAGTCGCCACCTGCAGTGCCGGCATCCCATATGGGCACCGGTTCGAGTCCTGGCTGCTCCACTTCCGGTCCAGCTCTCTGCTAATGCACCTGGGGAAGCAGAGGGGCCACCTGGGTGGGAGACCTGGATGGAGGTCCAGGCTCCTGGCTTCATCCTGGCACAGGGCAGCCACTTGGGGAGTGAACCAGTGGATGGAAGATCTCTCTCTCTCTCTCTCTTCCTCTCATTCCTTCTCTCCAACTCTGCCTTTCAAATACATAATAAATAAATCTCAAAAAATTATCCATCCATCCATTCATCATCCTGTCATCTATCTTTCCATCCATATAGCTCTTCATTCTATCTGTATCCATCCATCCATCCACCCACCCACCCAACCACCCATCCACCACCCACCCACCTATCCACCCATCCATCCACCTACCCATCCATCCGCCCATCCATCCACCCACCCACCCATCCATCCACCCACCCATCTACCCACCCACTACCCACCCACATATAA